TGGAAAAAGTTTATATAGGGCCGATGCTTTAAACAGTCAAATTAAAGCCCACCTCAAAAATTTCACTAGAAGAGATTGTTTTGATGCCCAAATATCCTGAAATTGATAATCTCGACATCAAGATGCATTGACATGAAAAATAAAACGATTTCAAGTTTTTGAAATAGTGCATCTTGAAATGCATTTTTGGACAGTCAATTTTCAATATTTTCAAATTTTTATAGAACTACTCAATCTACATTATTTTTGAAGCTTTAAATTTTATAATTAAAGATGAAGATATATTTTAAGGCTATCACAAAGATTTCCAGTATTGAAACCACATTTCTCAATACTATTTGAAGGTACGATTGTTTAGAGCGTCGGTACCCTTTTGAAAAACTTCGCTTTCTTCAAATCTGGTCTATATTTGATGAAATATTAAACCCTGGGTGTATCTTTGCATTCGTGATCTAAGTCTAACCATAGGCTAGTTCTTTTACAAAAACAAAAAAAAAAGGGGTGGTTTTATAGATTCTAAATTCAAATTTTCTATTAATTTAAAAAATTTGGAAACGAAAACTATTTTGGGGAGTTTTTATTGGGGTTGCATGAGGAAGGTTTAGCAAGGATTTCAAGTCTCAATTCGTAAATAGCACAAAGATCAGGAAATTGGCCTCGAATTTCATGTACATTCCTCTTTTTTCAATTTAAAGCCATAAATTTATTTTTTTTTGTTATTTCAATTATAATGATTTGTACTTTATTCGATATTTTGCTTTAAGTTTTTTAAAGTTTATGATTTATTCTCTTTTTTATTTTTATTTTCTTCGTACTTTTCGTTGTTTTACAAGCCAATAACGTCAACTTTTTTATTTCATATTTTATATATATTTTTCAATTTTTAAAAATATTTTCTCATGTTTGCAATTCTTTTTCATTTACCTTTTAGACAAGGTTTCTATGAGGCCGGCGACTCATCTATTTAAATGCGGTCTGTCTCCAAAATCTATTTTAGAGATAGATTTTGGATTCAAAACTTTAGGGAATAAAAATCTCAATTCTCAACCACGATGAGTATGAGTTCTTTAAAAAAAAAAAATTGATGTACTTCTAACACCGTCTATCTGAAACTTAGATGGGATGACCGGTTTTCAACATCCATCTTGTAGATGAATGTTTAGTGCACTAGGGAATGCTACTGTAGAAGTGAGTCCCTTAAATGCGCACACTTCTTTCTCTCATTTTTTTGGCCTTTTTCAAGCTCTCCTCTGTTTGAATGTTGGTTTGTTTGTTTTTTTTAAAATGACCATATTGCCCCTGTTCAGGAGAGGGGCATATTTGAGAATGGGGTGACCAAAACTTGCCTGTTAATTCTGATATCTCATTAGATTGTCCGAAAAGTCTAAGTATTGGAGGAGAGAAGATATAGATGAAAGTGAGGAGTATGCTAGTCCCTAGAAGTATAATCCATGATCGTTGCATGTATACTCCAAGCATTCGTGGTCTCCCTGCTCCAAACGCTTGCCCTGACAATGTCTCTAGAGCACTTCCCATACCCAACTGCAAAAAATGAATTAAAAAATAAGAAATAAAAATAAAAAAACAATTCATGAACTAAAACTACAAATAATTTTCTTTTATTTTTTTAGCAAGATCATGAATTTTATGGATCATAGAAAAAGACAATGATTACAATGGCAGCGAATCACCAGCTACAACCTTTACGGAAAGCATACTCTGATCCACATGAACATGATATAATATGGTCATAAAGGCTCGTCATCACCATCCAATCAATGGGTTGGAGGGTGGTGGAGTGAGAAACTTTCCCTGATAATGTCTCGGAGCACTTCCTAGCCAACTAAAGAAAAACAAAACTAAACTAAACTAAAATAATAAACTAATTTTGAGTCTATCCTTATAACACCCATGATCATGGTAATAAAAAAACATATAGGTGATCACCATCAAATTAATGGGTTGGATGCTGATGGATTGGGAGTTGGGTGTACATAGCGAATAATAGATTTTATGTTTAGATAGACTTGTTCTCTCACCATCATCGTCGAACCTATTGATGTGATGATGATGGACCCTTTCACCATATGGTTTCGATAATCAATGGGCTTATAGTATACATTCCCTTGTTTATAATACCCAGTTAGTTGAAACAATATTTTCAAAATAATCAAAAAATATGAAAACTAAAGGAAAAGTATATAATGAGATCATTTACCTTTGGTACAAGGTGGTCATAATTAATCTTGACCATTGGATGTGAAATTGGGTGGATGCATTTATTTCATTAGCCAAGTTCAAAGTTCAAAAGAAATTTTTTCGAACTTTGTGATAGATCCAAGCTATCAGATTTTTCGGATGGTTGTAAATACTTATGACCTCCTTGTACCTAAAGTAAATGGTCTCATTGTGTACTATTCCAAAACTAAAATGTTGTGGAATTGATGTTATCATTAAATAGATGTGTGGTTCGATTCCTATGGCTTGCAAGCATTTTATTTAAGTTAAAATATTACAAATGTTAACGTGCTAGTTGAGATGTACTTAAAATTGTAATATTTTTGGATTGCAATTCAAAAATCTTGTGAAATAGATTTGAACTGTTTGGACAACCATAAGATTTTACTAGATTTTTAGATTGAAATAAAAAATACTGCAGTATCAAAGCAAAAGTTACCATAAAAAAAAATTCAAGTCAGACTTGAATTTTTTATTTTATTTTATAAAAGTACTGCTCTCTCACCCCTTGCAAACCCCACCTTGTCACTCAACAACCCACACCGTGAAACCTCATAAGCTCCAAATTTACTCTCTCCCTTTAAACTACTTCAGTCCGAAATCTACTCTCTCTCTGAACTACTTATAGTGAGAGAGCTCCTCTTTTTCTCTCTTGAGCTCCTCTTTCTCTCTCTAGAACCAATCTCTCGAGAGCTCATCTTTCTCTATCTAGAACCCGTGTCTAGAGAGCTCATCTTTTTCTCTCTAGAACTAGTGTCTTGAGAGCTCCTCTTTCTCTCTCTAGAACTAGTGTCTTGAGAGCTCCTCTTTCTCTCTTTAACACCGTAAAACATATTGCATTGTGACCTGCCACATTACTGGGAGAAACAAGCTAGGGTTTCCAGGTATCTTGTATTGATATCTGAACGGGTTTCAAGGGCAGAGTCTTGAGAAGAATCGAAGTCTGATAGCTTCACAATTTTACAATCGAAGCATTATAAAAAGGTTGTTTTGAGCTTCGATGAAGCCATTCATGGTGGGAGTTCAAAGCTTGCAAAAAGATTTCCAAGATCATCCGGATATTGTTCCAAAAATAATTGTTTTCGAAAACATCTTGTTTTTACAAAAACAAACCCCTTTAGGAAAGCTCATGTTTTTGCAAAAACAGTGGAGATCATCTGGAGCTTGCAAAAATAATTCAAAAAACAATTCCAAATTTATTCTCTCTCGATATCATTCTCTACCTATAAATTCTTTTTTGTAAAAAGATTGTTTAAATTTTTTTTTGTAAAGAGATTGTTTTCCACTGAGCTTGCACCTCGTCTACCTATAAAAAGATTTCTTTCCAATGAGCTTGCGCCTCCTCTACAGGTAAATCCCCTTCTTGTTGAGGAAGAGAATCGCAGAGAGAAAAATAGACTTTAACACCCAAACGGCTTTATAGGAAAATAAAAAAAAGGCTTGGTATTTTTTGCAATTGGTATTTGAAAAACTGTAATTTTATTGAATAAAGGTTTTTTTATTTCAAAACAGCTTTATAAGATAAGAAAAAAGGCTTGGTATTTTTTGTAATTGGTATTTGAAAAACTGTAATATTATTGAATAACGGTTTCTTTATTTCAAAAAGGACAAAAATATTATAGCACTAGAGTTTGCAATGAGGACCTTGTGTGCAATAGGTCACACGTTCAAACCCCCAATAAGCCTAAGGGCCTGCTTGGATGACAACTAATTTTATCTAAAATGTAGTATCTTATCTAAAATTAATTTGGTATGAGCAATGTTATATTATTAGTTGTTTAGTATATATCTTGGATCATGTATAATGTTATTTAAACATTTAACCTTTCAGTGATTTCCATCTGCTTTTAAATTTGTTTTTTCCACGAACATATGATATTAAAAAATTACTCTGAATATAGTAAAAACAAATTTTTTTAAAAAATTGACTTATATATAAAATTGCATATAAGTTTTATCCCACATAACTTTACAATGAACACAGCCAAACAATACATAACTTGTTATCGGGATTAACCTTATCGAAAGAGTCTTACCAACGATGACAAGTACATCCAAATAGAACCTTAAGTAACTAAAACCCTAGAACTTGATACAATTTTGTTGGTTGCAAGGGCAAAAATAGAGTTTAAAGAGTCAGACCCAGAGTCGAACATATCATGGGTCCAAGCCTAAGTCCACCTTTCTTTCACGAGGAGATTGGAATGCGCAACGTGACAAGTACATTTTACCTAACAAGAAATTTAAACATATTCTTTTTTAATTTATAAAAATAAAAAAGACTGAATACAAAAAGAAACATCAAGCGGGGTTCATGAGGAGATTGCAACCTACAACATGACGCATTCTACTCAACAGCAAGCAATTTAAACATAAAACTAAACTTGAGTGTTTGAAGGAATGCACGAAATGATGAGCAATAGCCACACATCAAGTAAAGTAAAGAAGCACTTCAAAAATCTATCGAAAAAGGTCGTTATAATGTTGAAAAACCCTATAATCGATCATCTCGATGTCGAGATGAATGGATATGAAAAAGAAATGTTTTGAGACTCAAAAATAGTACATCTTGCAACACATTATCTAAACCGTCTATTTTCAACATTTTCATATTATAATTAGATATAAAAATAGATTTTCAAGTAATCTTAAAAATTCTTTACACCAAAATTACATACATATTATGATAAAATTGAGAGGTACGGGTAGATTGTTTAAGGTTGCAAGCTTATAGAACCAGACCATACCATGACACCAAATGAGAAGCCGGCTATAACGGAGTTTTCAATAGAGAAGACGGCGAGCTCGGTTGTGCCAACATGGCCCAAGAATGTTTGGGTGACTGCTCCTAGAGAGAATTGGCATATGCTTGTGAATATAATTGGCCCTGCTATCTTCCATAGTCTCTTTGACTCTTCCACTGATTTTCTCACGACCCTCTCTTCCCCCACCAACAGTGGACTTTCCATTCTCTCTCACTCTCTCTGTTCTGTGAACTTCAAACTTCAAAGTGGGTTTTCTATATTGGAAAAGTGTTTCATGCGGGTTTTATTTGTAGGGGTTATATGTCTGGTCTCTCAAAAGTAGATTTGATTTATTCGCTTTGGCAGCATGGACCTTTTTAGTTTTGGCCTGACATGGCCAGGGAAAGGCATCAAAAACAATTAGGTTGTATCTTTATTTTCATTTACATTCTTCCCAATGATTTAATGCCTAAACATTTATACCTCTCTCCTAAGTTAATTGTTAAACATCTACACCTCTCTCTCTCTCTCTAGATTGTTCTCAACTGCAGTTCTTATCAGATGACTAGTCGTTGGCTTGCGAAAGAGGAGCAATACGACGTTTTCTCTCTCGTTATTTCCTTGGCTGGTTTTCTTTCCATTGTCTTGTCACAATCAAAGATTCATCTCTCTCTCTCTCTCATCAGTATTTTCTCTCTCTAAACAATGGATGTGATTCGCCTTTCATTATCTACCTCCGTTGCAGAGTGTGGAACGTTAGATGGAATCACTATTGGAACAACCGGCCATCCAACTGCTGCTGACTGCCCCCGAATCGGACACTGTTTGGTTCTTGATGATCGATCGGTATTTAAAAAAAAAATTCAAAAAAATATATATCAATTTTTAAAAAATAAAGAATTTGATTTGTAATGTATTTTTTTTTTTTTACATTATGGTAAATAATAAAAAGGGTGTGGTTTCTATAAGGTTGCAACCCGACCCAACTAGGTGCACCTTCAAATTTTATCATAAGATATAATTTTGATGTGAAATGTTATTAGCATTATCTCAAAATCTATTTTTATATCTAATTATAAAATTTTAAATTTCAAAATTGGTTAAAATTAAGTAGATCTACAAACATATGAAAATCTTGAAAATGGACGGTGTAGATAATATGTCGTAAGATGCACTATTTGAGACTCAAAATCTTTTTATTTTTCATAGTCATACATTTTGATGCCGAGATGATCAATCACTGTGTTTTTCAACATTAAAATAACATTTTCCGATGGATTTTGAGGTGCATCCGTAGTTCTAATATTTTAAGGTTGCAACCTTATATAAACTTTTTCCATAATAAAAATAGTTTTAGTTTTTAATACTCACTTTAATTCAAAAATTGATTCGTTAAAATCCATTTTTTCGTTAATTTTCAACTTCATTTGAATGTGTTTTATTTTAATCATTTTTTATAGGGTACGTATGTATAGAGTCAGGGCTCTAAACAATCCAATCAGAGCCCACCTTCAAATAGTATCTAGAGAAATGGTTTCAATATTCAAAAGTTTTGTAATAGCCTTAAATTATATTTTCATCGTTAGTTATAAAATTTAAAGCTTCAAAAATAGTGTTAGATCGAGCAAATCTATATAAATTTAAAAATCTCGAAAATTGACGGTCCAAAAATACGTTACAAGATGCATTATTTCCAAAACTTAGAAATCCATTTTTTTCTCATGTCCATACATCTTGATGTCGAGATGATCAATTTTATGGTATTTGGACATCAAAACAACCTCTTCTAGTGAAAGTTTTGATATAGGCTCTAATTTGATTATTTAGAGTCTAGGCTCTATATAAAATTTTCCCTTCTTTATATGGTTTTCATATTTTAATAGTTTTTTTTTATCTTCTTAATTTTTTCAATTTTTGACTTCGCAGGACATGCACAATTGGAACCGTTGAATCGACCGGTTTACCGGTTAAACCACTTCCAAGCCCATATTCCATTAACCGTTCCGATTCAATTTTGTGAAACACTGAATGGAATGCATAACGTGACTTCTGGATTGATGAGATTCACGGGATGGGCTGCGCCTTTGATTATGTACCTCCGCTGCAAGGCGTAGAACGTTGGATGGAATAAATAACGGGACTTCCAGTGGATGTAATTCCCATTTGAGAATCTTAATTTTAAACCACTGCCTTACCGTCTAGTGATTTAAAAATCGTTGTATCCATAGATTGGGAGTCGATTGTGATTGAATAAGCTTTCTAGAAGGTATCCGTACCGACTAGTCATCTTAAAATTTGACTGATATGTTTTTGAAGCTTTTTTAATGCTTTTAGAGATAGTTTTAGTAGATCATCATCATTATCAAAGTTTTTTTCCAACTAATTGAAATCGGCTACAACAATCTTGATTGACTATTTTGTTTTACTAAAGGCTATACTCTCAAATTAGGGCTGATAATGGACCCAAACCAGACCTAAACCCAACGGGTATACTCGACAAGAGTCCGGGTATGGGTCCAAGTTTTGAATCCTTGGGTACGGTCCAGGTTCAATAAATGATACTCGAACAGTCCCGGGTTTGGGTACGGTTATAGCGATACCCAATCTATGGGGACCCGGACCGTAGTTATTATATATAAATTGGTTTTTGCTTTATTATTTTATATGATTTAATTTTTAGGAAAAATAGCCTCTAATTATGTGTTTCTTTGTTCATATTAGCCCTTTGGATTAACCAAAATCCCTTGCACCCCCTCAAGTTTAAAACTTTGAAATCATTAGCCCCCTCTAATTATGTTTCTATTTGTTCTTTTCACAAATTTGATTTCTTTCTTTTACAAAATGCCAAACCTATACATTAGTCATCTATATTTTTTTTTTGCTACTAGATTTACAAATTTTATTGATGATAATAATAATAGTTATTATAATTAATTAATAATTATAATAATAACAATACTAATAAAAATAATATATTAATTATTAAATATTTCATCTCTTATAGGTATTTTGATATTTTTTTTAATAAATAAATAAATAATAATAATTCATTAACGATGGTAACAAATATCTTGATTAATCATGTTTCAAGTTCAAAGATATTGATGTAATCGTAAAATAGGTCATAATATTAAAAAAAAATTCAGTTTCCTTTCATGCCTAAATTTATAGAGTGGGATCCAAGGAGGTAAGATTAGTTTTAGGCAATGGAAGAGAAAGTGAAGGGAGAATTTTGTAAAATAAAAAGATTAAATTAGTAAAAAAACAAAAAAAAACACAATTAGATGACTAATGGATCCAAAAAATTAAATTTGTGGAGGTACAAGGGATTTTAGTAAACCCGTTGCCACCCCTACTCTCAATGAGATCATAGATCCTCTATCTTTTCTATCGCACCAACAAGCTCATTTTTGTTCTAGCAAAAAGGCATTTGTAGTAAATACACAACCTAGGGTGCGTTGGACACGGAGTGAAAGGGACTCTCCCATAAATTATAAAAGACTACAAAATTTGTGAGGGGGGTGAATAATATGTACCGTCCAATTTGAACGTTGCAAATATTGCGACATGGGGCCTTGACAAAAAATACTTTTCTATAAATTAAAACAATTGTTTTTAAAAAGTGAACACCAATAATAATTTATCTTCAGTATATAAAATATGAGCAGGTTCGTGACTAGGTGGCAATCAAAAAATTCATCTTACGTTTAGACTTTGGTTCGGATGAAAAATAAAGAGAACTAAGTTAAGTTGGGATGGAAAGAATTAGCATGACACCATTTGCGTGATTCAAATTCATGGTATACACATTGCATATAATGTAGTGAGCGAACTAATGATAACAACATAGCATAGAAGCTAACCAAGGGTATATGATCTCTCATCACAAACTTTTATCAAGAACTCAAATTTTAATTTTTTTTTTTTTAAAATATAATTTTAAAGGTAGATCCCCATATTTAGTATATATAAAATACTGTTAATAAATTTTTTTCTTCACGAATCAAGTATATATGGTTGCACTTTTGACAGTATATATTCATATCTTCCATCTTCCACGTGTTTGGGGGAGTGGTATACAACAATAAATGAACTATAAAAATTAATTTTCATTATTCCAAAGTAACTATTATTATTTTGAGAATATTGTAAAAGACAATATTCTCCTTATCTTTAATAATATACAAGTATATACTATTTGATTTCGCATTCTATTGTTATTATCATATTGATTCATTATTAATTTTGTATAATAATTAAAATCGAGAATATAAAATGTAATTACAAATTTTATGCAATTAAATTAAGAAAGGTGTTAAATATATTCTACTTTTGAAATTCAAATTTTTATTTAAAAGCCAAAATAAACTAAAATTTATAATTTGGTATTAAAAATTATAGTCTCATTTTGATAGAATATTTCACAAATTTTAAATGAAACAATATAATGATCCTATGAGACCCTCCCTCACCCATGTGTGTAGGACTCCAAAGGATCACTATTAAATTTGGCACAAATCTCCAAAAAAGTCAAGTTTCACACCTATGTAATAACTTTTCTAGAGCTATGTGCCAAATTTAATGGTGATCCTTTGGGGTCCTACACACATGGGTGTGGAGGGTTTCATAGGATCGTTACTCTTAAAAAAATTATGCATGTTATAAATTTTTCATTCATGTTACTTATCACTGTATCATTTGAAAGCTATAAATTTTATATAAACAGTTTATATTTATTCATTTTTATGTTATTTTTAGGGAAACTTTTGTATATAATCCTAATTTCTCGTATTATTTCATGGTAGATCATTTTTCTATTTTTCTTTCAAGCGACTTTTGATCATAAAAATTAGCTCCAACAAATCTTTTTATACCATTTCAACCTAAAAACTTTTTTTTATGGGTAGAAGGGAAAAAGATGGCTAAAAAAGTTTTTGAGATGAAATGGTATAAAATGATTTGTTGGGACTAATTTTTATGGTAAAAAAGTCAATAAAAGTGGGTGATAAGAGATGAGGGGTAGAGTGAATCCTTAGGGATTCCTTATGCAGCTTGAAAGAAAAACAGAAAGATGGTCTGGCATAAAACAATATGAGAAATTAGGGTTTTATATGAAATTTTTCCTTATTTTTAACCTTTATAATTTGAAGGTTGTGAATTGTATATATGGTCAAAATGTGTCTCCCAAATAATGAATCTAGACCGTTCATTTGATAAATTCAAGATCTTGGCATTTATAAATTCAAATTCAAAATTTTCTTTTTCACCGTTATTAATCTAATGATAATAAAACTATCTAAAAATTTTGATAAGAAAAAAGATTATTCTAAAGCCTAGATCTACACATCACCAAAATAGACGGCCTATGTTAATTGGGCTAAAAAAACACTTTTTAGGTTGTGTTTTCATTTTTTTTTTTTTTTGTGATTGTTCATTAGAATGAAGAGAGTATATATTTGAACATTTGGATCAAACAAATGTTCAAACAAATAGTCCTAATGAATTTGTCTAGAGTTAACAGCCCTCAAAAATACAAATGTTAATGTTTATTTGGGTCATTGATCTCCTTCAACATGGCCTTTGAGAATGGGGTTGAGGTGGTAATACTAATACCACATGTGCCTCTACTAAGGTATAGGCTTCTCACCTGATGCATTAAAAAAACCGCTAATGATTTGAAAAAGGGGTAAAAACTCATCATCCCCACTAAATTGCCAAAAAAAAAAAAATCATCCACCATATCCACCGTCTATTTAGGGAAATGGACTATCAACATTTGGAGTGGCAATTCCAGGTCAGACCCGATCAAACTAGGTCTAACATAGACCAGGCAGGTCCAAGTCATGTGGACCTAGACCCGACTTGTCGGGTCAAGTTGGATGTAGTTATATATTTTATAATATATATTTCATATTTAACATATTTTAGACACCTAGTTGGGCTGGGTTGGTTTGACCCCAACACAAACCCAAACCCAACCCAACAGGGTCCATGCTGCACCCAAACCCAGACCCAAGCCTGATTTGCCAAGTCCAACACTTGGAACAAGACCAAACCCAGTTTGGGTCGACTAACCTGATTGCTAATTCATATCACCATGATGAACGCCCACAACCACCATTAATGATCAGTGAATGCCCATACCACGTACCACGCACCACATACCATTTGTGTATCATATACTCCCCTCGATGTTATTTAACAAGCTTCTAAAGAAAAGAAAGGGATTGTATACTATAAGACATTTTGTTTTGAAGAGGTCACAATTGTTAAGAGCCATCAACTTGGATAGCTTTTAATGTATCACAAAGTTTAATATTTTTTTGAAACTTTAAGTCTAGTCAATAACACACTCGCTTCCCCAGATTTGAAATCTAAAGAACAAGGGTCATTGTGAACACTTTGGATTAAAAGTTAACGGTCTCTCTGTACTTTTCCCTAGAAAAATACCAAGTAATAATATGAGAAGCACCCTAAACTTCAGCATTGAGTTTAAAAGGCGAGAAAATCCAAAGAGTGAAGATCATTTGTTCAGTAATGTAAAGCATATGATTTCCACGAGTCGATAAAAATTAGCTTACAAGGATCAAGGCATCTATTCACCAAAAAGTACAAGGATCGTGACATCTCGATCCTTTATTTTAAGGCTGATCTGTGAATGAGTTGTTCAGATACCAAAATCCAGCCGTCCATGGAAATATTACAAAAATGAAGACTATTCATCACTTGTTTTCATCAAAATTGGTTCGAAATATATAATCCTCACCCTCTAGTTCCTCCTGTAATAAACAAATTGAAGGTGCAACGATCTTGATCCCATTGCTCTTTGATGTTCTCTTCCCCTGAAGCACACCTCAAAAACCAAAAACAGTTTAATTTACTTGAAGAACATTTGAAACCAAAAAACAAAATCCGTGTATGGTAATGATGGTGATGACGACGACAACTAGATGATGGTGATGATGATGATCCATGGTAAACATAAGGCATACTTTGCGTTTAAGATAAAATGGTGTAAACGTTGTTCAATTAGAGAGTACACCCAACATTCTAAAAGGTCATACATGTTACTAAACCTATCAATTGCTATAGTTGGCATTGCAGCTCGTATACCCTAGTTACTAAGCCAAGACGGCAAACACTGTAGGGGCAATTAAATTGAAAGATTATACATACCAACCTTTTTCAACACATAAAAAAAATAATGAAATCCGTCACCGAATGTTTTCCAATCAAGGGACCAAAGGAACTCTTCTGCTTCAAAGAACGGCCGCCTGAAGTGTGGCTGTTATTGATT